TCTTTGCTCCTCACCTATCTACAGTTCCCGCCCCTCAGATGTTCGTCTCTTCTTGTGAATTTCTGCTTCTGAAGGCCACATGCTCTCCTCATTAGCATTTTACTCAGTATGCAAATAGAATCCCATTTGTAAGACATCAAATACACAATGGCTAACTAGGGAGATGAATGTCTCCCATCTTCTGTCTTGTGGAACCTGCCTTAAGGCACACTACCTGTGAATGATGTGCCTTTAATTACAATGGTCTAAGAACATAATTTGCAATGGACATCTCCTTATATATTATCTATATGTATATTTCATAAAGATAATGACTGCAATAGAAATCTTACATAATCCTTGTGACGGACTGGGTCACAGAGATCCCCTTGAGACTTGTCATTTGATGTGCTTAAATACCATGGAGCCTACCTAGCTGTCCCATCATCCTGTCCTGCTGACCTAGACTCTCCGGTTTCCTCCAGCGGTGGCACAGAGTTAGGGTTACACGCCACAACAGAGAGGTATAGACACTGAGATCAGCTCAGCTCCGGGAAGGCTCAGGCAAAGGGACTTGACACAGCACCCAAGTGCACAGCCCTAGTGGATCCCGAACTCCAGATAAATCCGTCTTATTCAACATAAAATTTTATACAGAGCATGCTTATAAATTGTTTGTCGTCTTTATCAATGAAAGAGCTATGCACAGCTGTTCTTCACTCCTCCTTCCCTAGTAAGTTATTTACACTGGGTTTATTAATAAACAAAAGTGATTTTTATTAAGCATAGAAAGGAGGATTTAAGTGGTAGCAGACAGACCAAAGTAAGTTACTGAGCAAAATAAAACATGCCAGCTAAGCCTAATACTTGTTACATGCATTTTCTTACCCTAACAGTAGTTCTAATAATTTTTTCTCACAAGCTGGAAAGCCTCCTAACTTGTGACTGATTCTTCCCCCTTTTCAGTCTTTGATGTTTCCAGGAGTCATTTTGTGTGGTAAGCAGGGGTGTCCTAATGTCTGGCAGTAGTCCCTTTGTATCCCTTTTGCCAAAGGCAGGAATCCTTTGTGTTAAGTAAAATGGGTTCCAGCATCAGATGACCTGGACACATGTTTTGACAAGACCACCCATAATGAAGACTTTCAAGAAAAACAAGACTGTTCACAGATCTTGGTCCTGAAGACTAGGCCATTAAGTTCCTTGAATACTGCTAATGGCCCTCACCTAGTACGTCAAGATTAGTAAACAGGTCTAGGTTTCCCTTGTCTAACTTCAAATACAGGAATGATACATGCACACAAATAGAACGTAAGAAAAACCTAACCTCTATGAAATTATCTAGCTTCTCTTTAAACTCTATTATAGTCCTAGCCTTCACAGCCTCCTCTGGCAAGGAGTTCCACAGGCTGACTACACGTTGTGTGAAGATGAACTTTCTTTTATTAGTTCTAAACCTGCTACCCATTAATTTCATTTGGTGTCCTCTAGTTCTTCTATTATGGGAACTAATAAATAACTTTTCTTTATCTGCCCTTTCCACACCACTCATGATTTTATATACCTCTATCATATCCCCCCTCAGTCTCCTCTTTTCTAAACTGAAAAGTCCCAGTCGCTTTAACCTCTCCTCATAGGGAACCCATTCCAAACCCCTAATCATTTTAGTTGCCCTTTTCTAAACCCTTTCCAAGGCCAAGATATCTTTTTTGAGGTGAGGAGACCACATCTGTACACAGTATTCAAGATGTGGGCGTACCATAGTTTTATACAGGGGCAGTAAGATATTCTTTCTTATTTTCTATCCCTTTTTAATAATTCCTAGCATCATATTTGCCTTTTTGACCGCCGCTGCACACTGCGTGGAAGTTTTCAGAGAACTATCCACGATAACTCCAAGATCTCTTTCGTGATTTGTCATAGCCAAATTAGCCCCCATCATACTGTACATATAGTTGGGGTTATTTTTCCCGATGTGCATTACTTTACACTTATTGACATTAAATTTCATTTGCCATTTTGTTGCCCAATCACTCAGTTTGGTGAATAGTGATAGAAATGTAGCCGTGTTAGTCTGGGGTAGTTGAAGCAAAATGCAGGACAATGTAGCACTTTAAAGACTAACAAGATGGTTTAATTTTAATCATGTTCATATTCATATTTGTTCATTTTTTTAATTGTATCCTTTGGTATATATGGTTGTGACTACTTTCTTCCACTATTTGATCTGAGGAAGTGGGTCTGGCCCACGAAAGCTCATCATCTAATAAACCATCTTGTTAGTCTTTAAAGTGCTACATTGTCCTGCATTTTGCTTCAGTTTGGTGAGATCTTCTTGGAGTCCCTCACAGTCTACTTCTGTCTTGACTATCCTAAACAGTTTGGTATCATCCGCAATCTTTACTACCTCGCTGTTTACCCCTTTCTCCAGATCATTTATGAATAAGTTGAAAAGGACTGGTCCCAGGACTGACCCTTGGGAGACACCACTAGTTACCCCTCTCCATTCTGAAAATTTACCATTTATTCCTACCCTTTGTTTCCTGTCTTTTAACCAGTTCTCAGTCCAAGAAAGGACTTTCCCTCTTATCCCATGGCAATGTAATTTACATAAGAGCCTTTGGTGAGGGACCTTGTCAAAGGCTTTCTGAAAATCTAAGTATACTATATCTACTGGATCCCCCTTAGAATATACACATTCAGCAGATTATCACTTTTCTAATTATATATTACAAGATGTAGTTTGTTCATGTCATCTTTGTTCAGTTATGCAAATTCATATTCATAAGCACATTTCCATAAAGAATATGGGATACAACATCACAACTCTCTTTGGTGAATTAAAATGTAAATGTCAGACCCAGAGGATCTCTGTAGCCTAGTGGTTCTCACTTTTGTACTGGCTACCCTAAGAGTGTCTCCACAATCTTAAACAAACCTGATAGGACTAAAGTTAGGCCTGTCAGCTTTAATAGTAGCCCTTTAATTCTTCCCAGTTCTGCTTTTTTTTAAAGGAGTATGATGCCACTCCTTTGGTGTCTTTGAAACGTGATGATAGTTGGGCTCTGAGCTACTATGTAGTTCATTCAGTGTCTCTTGCTCCATGCTTAAAGGGGAGCTCTTCTGTACAGGCTTCCTAATTTGTGCTATTTTCAGGCTTTGGGCTTCAAATTTTTTACCTCTTCCCACATGCACATATTTAGTGCTCTTTGTGTAAATTGGTATCTGGAAATAAAAATGACTAAAATGTACTCAAGCTTTTATCTTGCTTCATTTTGGACTGTCATTTACTCAACTATAATGTGTTAGACTGTGTTTTCTATTGTCTACTGCAGTTCCCTATTTAAGAACACAGGTATAAACTGCAGTTTGGACCTACTACCTTATTTCCTTCCTGGCTTTTTACAGACCCAAGTAGAGAGAGAGAAATCTGGTAATTCGAAAGGGCAGAAGATTTTTTTTGTCTCCTCATTATACTGAGCTGTTGTTTTTAAACGACTAACTTTTCTTGTTTGTAAATGTACATGCAGCTTATGTAATAAACTTTCTCAGGCAACAGAATACCTTCCTGTAAAACCCAAAAATTGTGTGTGACTTACGAAAGCTGGAGATTCCCAAGATTGGTCAGTCTAACCTGCTACTTCAAGAAGATGTATGAAGCCAACTATTCCACCTCTGCTAAGGCCAAAAGCAGAATTGTTTCCCACACATTTACATCAAGGGACTAAACCACATTCTTAAAGGTCCAGTCCTGTAAGGTGCCAAGTATTCTCCGCTCCCTTTAGTAGAAGTTGAAGGCTCTCAGAACCTTCCGGCCCTTGCAGGACTGCTCCTCTAGCACTCATTCTAGGGCAGCTATTCTTGGGAGTAAGCTAAAATTTCCTTTCTTAATTTCACCTGATTTCTTCTAGCATTACTCTTTTGTATGCCACACTAAATATATCTGCCCCAATATTGCATCCTCTTCAGATAATATAACTCCTTCCAGGACTTCCTACTAGGGATGTGAATGCATAACCGTGCAGACAGTTAACCGATAAGCCTGGGCTTATCAGTTAACGTTCATGGTTACATAGAGACTTTCGCCCCAGTCCCACGGAGTCAGCTGCCACTCCATGCTGCTGCCTCTGTATCATGCTGCAGCAGTGCCGGGCAGCGGGCAGCACCCTGAGAGCAAGGCTGCAGGTGGGAGCTGGAGCACAGCAGCTCCTGCAGCCTTCCTCCTGGGGGCAGGCAGCCAGTGTGAGTCACGAGCCAGCTTAAAAGCTTTCTCCAGGCATGCACCCCACTCCCAATGAGCCAGCTGTGGATGTCTGTAACCATTGAGTTTTTCAGTGGTTACACGTTCATGCAGTTACCTACATTTTAACATGCCTACTTTCTACTTACCCAAATGATTAATGTTTTCTTTCTTTCTTTCTTTCTTTCTTTCTTTCTTTCTTTCTTTCTTTCTTTCTTTCTTTCTTTCTTTCTTTCTTTCTTTCTTTCTTTCTTTCTTTCTTTCTTTCTTTCTTTCTTTCTTTCTTTCTTTCTTTCTTTCTTCCCTTCATAAGTTAGTCTTTTTCTCACCCATCTCTTTCATTGTTTTTGTCTCTCTAAGCACTTTGGAATTTGGCCACATATCTTTGGTACTGAAGTGCTTGGACACACATAGGCTATGTCTACATTGTGCTCTCTTGCGCAAGGGACTTTTGTGCAAGAGGGAGCAGTCTGCACTGCTCCTTCTTGCACAAAACCCCCCTCTTGTGCAAGAACTGTTCTGCCTGAAAAAAGCCCCTTGCGCAAAAATGGTGATTCATAAGTATACAAATGAGGCGTAGTGATATTCATTGCCATGCCTCATTTGCATATGTTCTTGCGCAAGACTGGCCAGTGTAGACGTAGCCATATAGCATTCCAGAGGTGCTTCTGTATTGTCAGTGTTCTATAGTATGTTTATAGAGCTAGGACTAATGTATTAATACAGAATATTGGGGAAACATTTTAAATGTAATCAGTATTGTGATTACTCTAGATAAACAATAATGCTAACCAATGACTTTGATTGTGTAATATTAAGTTATTCTGATCACAGAAAATATTTTCTGTTATAGAGTGATCCTGAGCCTTCTCATGGTTTGGTTGTTGAACTGTTTCATCTGTTCTTTGCAGCAGAACTCCCCCCTCCATATACCGCCATTGCCAGTCCTGATGCCAGTGGTGTTCCTGTAATAAACTGCCGTGTATGCCAGTCGCTAATCAATTTGGATGGCAAGCTTCACCAGCATGTTGTTAAATGCACAGTTTGCAATGAAGCTACGGTAAATGGGTTTTATATTTTTTATTGTTGTTGATATGTTGTCTCAACTCCTTGTTATGTAGCATGAGTACATTGGTATTACTGATCACCTAGCGTATTTATTAAAGGATTATTGACACAGAGGGGGCATGGTTATCTGTTATCAGTGAAAATGTACAAAAGCCATAAAGTCATCAGGTTCCTAAGCTTATTTTGTTTTATTTTTCACAAGTGGGAATTCAAGGGGTTAAGAGAGAGTCAGTTAAAGCAGAAGCTATCTCCTTGATGTTTTAGGGAGAGATGATATCGCATTAGATGATAGGCTCAGAAGATTATATTTTTCAGGGAACGGATGGCAGGATTTTCAGATCTGGCAGAAAAAAAATTGAGGTGCCGTTATTTTAGATGTCTAATCTACTCACTACACTACATATGTGTGCTTTGCTAAATATATGCGCTGTTGTGTTAAATAATGCCCTAAAGACCAGTTTTAAGTATTGCTTAGAAAGTTTTGTGCCATATACTCCACCCCATCCCCTATTTTTTTTTTAAATAAAAGACATTTTCTCAGGACCTGAAATTTATAGTGCCCCCTTGACATACTTGTAAAAGCAAAAGCAATTAATGGTAAGTATCCCTTTCATTACGTTACCCATATCCAGGACAGCAGTGTTATACAGTAAGGAACAAATGTGCTGTTACATTGAGGAACCAAGATATTTTTGGTGCCAAATGGAATTCCCCAACTCAACAGAAATCCCTTCCATACACTTTAGAAAGGTTCGTCAGGGCAGAGAAGAGTGGAAGGGCAGTGGAGATCTACTCCAAATGGCATCCTTTCTCCCACCTCCGTAGGTCAGATTAATAATCGTTTTAGGGGGTGCATGTCCATATACTTAATTTAACCCATTCATCCACACATGGAGACTGTAGCTAAATGACAGCACAGGACTGCTGAGACTCTGGAATCCTAGACGGATTCCACATTCTCTAGTGGTTACAAACCTGCCGACACTGCTTTGTCCCAGCCTTTTCTCTGCCTTGTCTCAATCCCTGTCTCCTCACCAATCCAATACCAGTCTCATTCTATCAGTTCTTACCCTACCCTGCTTGTCTGCAATTGTGCCTGATGCCACAGCAGCTCCTAGTGTCTGGGAGGAACAATGTCAAGGAAATTCCACAGTAGCACAGGAACATACCTAGTACAGATAGACTCTTTGGAAAATTTAGCTACTGAACTCTTACCAAGTCTATAGGCATGTTTGAACTGTAACCAATGTTCCCTCTAATCCTTTTTCATCCATGTGCAGAATAAGTGTTTTATTTGAACAAGGCATGTGCAAATGTGCACCAGCAGTAGACATTAAAAAAATCTCTGTGCTCCCTCCACTAATCAGCTCTGCGGCATATGAATCTCTCCTGAGTGGTCACACAAGTGCACAGCTTATGGGGAACACTGGCCGTGATTGTCAAAGGCTTAAGTGTTGCTAACACTGGCTGATTTATCTTGGGAACAACAAAAGACATGTCCCTGACATAAAGCTTATCTTCCTATCAATTCCTAACCCATTTGCTAAAGCTATAGCAAAGGAGATGCTACAGCTGCTTGCCAAAATGTTTGCAAGAATTTATTTCAGCAGTTGTTAACTTTGCAAATTTCCCTAACCTCGTTTTGAGAAATGGTTGAACCATTTTTGCTGAACCATATTTTTAAAAAAATATTTAGCCTGAGATTGTCTCCTGACATGGAAAATGTCAGCTCCAATAAATAAAGTTTGGCAGAGTAATTGAAAACAATGTCTCGTAATGGGAAGTGTTGAGCAACCTTAACTGTAAGAGTGAATTACCAGCGTCTGCATATACTAAAACTTTTCCATTAGAAATATGTCAGTGTGTGAACACATTGGTAGAAAGTGATATTTCATAGCTTCATAGATCAGGAAGGAACAACTGTGATCATTTATCAGAGGGGTAGCCGTGTTAGTCTGAATCTGCAAAAGCGGCGAGGAGTCCTGTGGCACCTTATAGACTAACTGAAGTGTAGGAGCATAAGCTTTCGTGGGCAAAGACCCACTTCGTCAGATGCATGTAGTGGAAATTTCCAGAGGCAGGTATAAATATGCAGGCCAGGATCAGGCTGGAGATGACCAGGTGGATCCAATCAAGGAGGATGAGGCCCACTTCTAGCAGCTGATCTGGAGGTATGAATTCCAAGAGAGCAGAAGCTGCTTTTGTGGTTAGCAAGCCATTCACAGTCTTTGTTTAATCCAGAGTTGATTGTGTCAAACTTAAAGATGAACTGTAGCTCAGCAGTTTCTCTTTGAAGTCTGGTCCTGAAGTTTTTTTGCTGCAGGATAGCTACTTTTAGATCTGCAATTGTGTGTCCAGGAAGATTGAAGTGTTCCCCTACAGGTTTTTGTATGTTGCCATTCCTAATATCAGATTTGTGTCCATTGATTCTTTTACGTAGGGACTGTCCTGTTTGGCCGATGTATATAGCAGTGGGGCATTGTTGGCACATGATGGCATATATTACGTTGGTGGATGTGCAGGAGAATGTACCAGTGACAGTATGGCTGATCTGGTTAGGTCCTGTGATGGTGTTGCTGGTGTATATATGTGGGCAGAGAAGAAACTTGCACAAGTACAAACAGATATCATCTTTCTCTCCAAATGCAAACGGATGGACATTATACCAAAT